CTATTTACTTTGCATTTATAATATGCTCAAATTAGGTTTTATTTTTATTTCATCTCCGTGAAAGTAAAGTACAATAAAACGAAGATCAAATGGAATTTGAAAATTTCGGATGAAGTGAAAATAAACAGAGTTTAAAAAATCCCTTTAAACTGACAACACTACTGTCAATTTAAATGGAAGTAAAGAGTAGAGGATGAGTTCAGGAAATCTTCAGTAGGGTTATCATTCGATCACAAGAACTATTCATTGATCGATTCGTTCACGTGGCAAACGAAAACTTCCGACAGTGGAAGAGCAAGGAAGACGGAAACAACAGCGAGAATTGTGAGCATTTCATACCGAATATAAAAGATTACCTTTTCGACACTCAAACAACAAAAATATCAATCCACGAACGAATCGAAATCTTCTCATTGCTAAAATGGTCAGTGATGTCCCTGTTTCACGTGGGGTTCTTTCGTTGCACTTTTCCTGTGCTGCTTTGTGAAGTTCCACTGAATCGAAGTTAGAAACTTGGANTGCAAATACTTCCAACCTCTCAGTATAAGACAGAAACAATTGTCTTCATAATTAAATTTCATGCACATAAATCAAAAAAAAAACGAACAATCTAACTGTTGAGCTGATGTTCAAAAACCATTCTGTGAATGATTGTGCAAACTCTCACGAAAACATGTACTAAGCTTGTTATCAATCCAAGATAAAACCAGAATTTATAACATGATGAACCCTAAATTGTTTACTCGCAGATGTGAGGCTTTAAAATTGCGCAAAAACTAGCAATCAGTCATATAAGAAGAGTGTGAAGGTTTCAGAAAACTCTTGCTCTAAGAGCTTATGCGACGGAATTTTTCAGCAAGTTCTGATTATGCAATTAATTACAGTTGATCCATTTAACGGGAGGAGATTCGTGAATATTTATGATCTGTGTGCTGCATTTGGAGCGTTTTGGAAGAGTGAATGCATCAGAGAAGGTAACTGATTCAGTGTGAAAGTATTATATTGTAACGTGATATTGTGGGATTGGCGAGGGGATGAATTAAGGGAAAAGGAAAAAAATTCATTTGTATATAAGGATGCAGAAGGTTGCAGTTGAACAAATTCCAACGACCGACCGATAATACGGTTTTCTATTACATATATACAACCATTTCTACACGAAACGATTATTTTTCGCACAATTACAAACCGTCGGCACTTCAAGCTAATCGCACGAACTCTGTGCTGAGAACTTTAGTACTTACGATGCCGCATCAGCTGATTATGCTTGTATGCACCATACCTAACACTGTGAGGGTGATGAAAATGAATTAGAGTTGCTGAAGTTCACTTGTTTCAGTTCACTTGCCTAATTAGAGAGCATCACAACAAGAAAAGAAACTCATCATGATTTCGAATTGCACTGGAAATATGGAATGCATTACGATTATTCGCTGCGAACAGAAAGCCTACCTACGTAGATGTGAAGATGTAAACTTCCCAGGTGTGACCAACACTATTGCTGTTGGGAGTAACCAAAAAGAGGTGGATGAAAAGTTGCTAAGAAAAGTTCACCAGATATCACTGTGCCGCAGCTGTTCATCTATTTTATAGCTTTGTAAACTTGCGCAACTACAATAAAATGATCCTAAATGAGATGAATATGATGTGAATGAAACCACTCCAGATGGTGATACAAAAAAAAATCGAATAAAGCGGCTCAGAATGCCTCAACATCGATTCTCAATGCCGCCGAGTTGAACATGCTTTACAGTTTCTAATTTCTCGGTAATCATCATGACTACGAACGATTATCAACGATATTATAGGGCCAGGCTCTGGACTGAAACAATTTTGTTGCAGCTGACTACAATGAAAGTGAACTTCATTGAAAAAAGTATCTAATCGCAAGCAGCAACTGAAATACGTCCAATGACAGCCGACAAGGAAGACTCATTCATTTACAGTGTCAAACGTCACAGAGACGTTTTCAAAACGTGCTCATGATGAAATGATAATGAAACTAATGTTCCAAATGAAATCGTAACAGCATCGCATACGTCGTTTCGTAAAAGATTTATGTGAATCAAATAACGAAATATTTTCGAGATGTAAAAAATGAATCGAAGAGCACAAACCTCAAGATCTTGGTCTGTTTCAACACTACTTTCAGTTGGACAAGGAGGTGCCCAACGAACGAATTTTGTCTTAATGGGTTCCTTCTTATCGCCCGCTTTCGCCATAAGGCGGAGGTAGTAAAATCGTTGCTCCTCAGACAACCCTTTTTCATCGTCTTCATCAACGCGATTCAGTCGAATCATTACGACCACAAACAATCCAATAACAACTTCATAAAGTGACCGTATCGAATGACCATTCGCTGTGAGCAATATCAGCTTCCAGTCAATTCGTTCACAACCTTTTTAGAGGATAGAATTTTGTGACTGCTGTTGACAGACGGCGACGATTTCGTTTCCAATAAACGCCGATATTTACTTGTCAGATGGTAGGATAGCAATGAATAGTTCAATGGAAATTCCGTGCTCCAAAACAATCCGAATTCATCAAGTTAAGAAGAAGATATCATCGGATGGAAAAATGAGTTGTTAAATTTGTAATGACGGTAGTTTTTTGTCCAGTCGAGTGAAATAATTTATTGAATTAACTGACGAATATGACAAAATAGATTTGTTCTGATTACAGTCGTGGCGATATGGAAATGAATTGAACGCCAATAACACCTTAAGGATTACGTCGACACGACAAATGAGCAGATAGTTGCTTAACGAAAACGGAATAGGATTCTTGTCTTGTTCTGCACACGCTTTCGTTAACAATTCCTGATGCTTCTGCAATTCGCAGAATCGTAATATCCACTTAACGATTCAGAACTTGATGAATCAACCGACGGTAATATGACATGAATAACTCAGATATTCGAGCAGCCTTCAAGCATAAACACCTCAACTCTCAAAACACCTTTAAACCCTTAACTCTCAAAACACCTTTAAAGCTGCACACAGCTTTGGCTGCTCTCCTCTCCGTCTTGTGCACTGCTATTGCTTAGTGGAACAGTGTGTGCATCGCTGCAATATCTGTAACTTATAACTAATAACTTCAAATGAGCCCACTAATTTCATCAGNAGTGAAATGAACTGTTATCGGTCGGGGTTGTATGTCACGAGACTCTCTAGATCACAGCATTGCAAGGACTTTTATTCGTCCCAATATGAATTTAATTATGCGCTTCCTTCACGGGGCACCATCTGAGTGTTTGCGTGCCTACCCTATCAGTCTCGAATCGAACGATCACGTGGAATAAACTCGAGCAAAAACGATTCGTGTTTGGTTGCCTAAGGACCTATCAACAGAATTCAATAATGATCACGAAGTTTAGCGCTAATGTTCGAAAAGCGCTGGACATATTTTTATGGCTTAGCAATACCGTGCCCATTTGATGTGAAAAGTAGCACGCAATTCCGATCGAAATGACAACTTGACCGTTATCTCATTTGAAAAAGTATCACTGAGGGATTACATTATGGCATAATATGCAGTAAAACCTATAAGATCAACAGCGAGTGTATCGCAAAATTTGATGGAGCAACTGACTAGTGAGTGATGAATTGAAATTTTGAAATGCAACAAGCAAATCCAATACATCATTGGGAAAAAATTGGTCTTGCTCCATTCAGTGAAGTAAATGAATTCCTCAGGAATGATGCAAATGGTGGTCAACAGAATGTGGGTGATCAATAACATATCGAAAACGAATCAAATAAGCGCTTGAACGCTTTCGTCAAAAAGTCCAACTCTGAGATCAGTTCATCTAACTAATTCGATCGATAAAATGACCTGTGCATCTAGCCTACAGAAAACAAATGGCAAGAAGATGGGACTAAGGTCATAAATCTCCTTCATTGTTGAGGAGAAGGTTGGATTGGGTAATTTAAAATGTCTGGTAATTCAGCTCTGAATGAGTGCATTAAACGTATGTATCTATCTCATAACATCAGTAGAAATAAACGAAATTATTGCTGGATTAAATTTATAAAACAATACGATGCATTGTTCATTATCCATTAAATATAGCAATACAATGGACTCGTCAGTGGACACGAGAGTCAATTCATGAACTACTGCAAACGAACGAAACTGTCAACTCACGTTCAGCTCAACCAAGGCGATGTAATTACATGAAGAAATAGAATAAGAGCTGAAGATGGGTCGTGGTGAGCTGAACGAAATCCTTCGTAATGAGCTATTCATATTCACAGTGAATCAATCAGTGCTACACAGCGATAAACCGTATTAAAAAATTCGACGTCAAATAAGATTGCCTCGTCAATTCGTATTGAAAATAAAAGCAACAATGGGTAATTTGATATCACAGTGAGGTGCTTGCATGATAACATATAAAGCTGAGCATTCAGGTGGGCTTAACCACACTCCATAATAAGATAAGTNTTAAAAATCAGTATAAATAAATACTGAAAGAGTAGGCAAAAGAACGCAAATAGCAATAATGATGTTCTTCAATAATAACAAGAACTGAATATGTTTATGGATGGCATTATCAGCGTGTGATCGATTGTAGGAACGCATGGTGGTAACAGTTTCGAGGTGAATAAAAAAGAAGTAATATTGGAGAGATGAATATAAGGGCACACAAGGTTGTGTGGATTGAAATCAATGTAGTTTTGAGGAGTGAGTATTTTGTATGAAGATGTGAGGAGATTGGTGAAGATGAAGTGAATTGCAGTAACATATTGCTCATAGGTGGAGCAATGGAAGTATTGAGGTGAGGTGAGGTGACTCTGTATCTTTTGAAACGAGTTGTAGTCATAGAACGTAGCGTGTTCTCTCTCATTTTCAAGATTGAACTGACTTCAAGAGGCAGCTGACTTCAAGAAGAGTAGAAACGATGATGTCGAATCGAGAAGAACTGACTGAGTTGAGCTGAGATATTGAGATGAATGTTTGCGTGCGTACTGAGAGCGTAATGATTGCAAGATGTGTTTTAATTGCAGAAGAGTACTTATATCTTCTATTCGCATCGATGGAATAGAGATAATGCTGCTGCTGCTGTTGCAGGTTATTGATGATAAGCATTTCGCATCATGTTCACTTCCATCAGCACATTTCGATGTACCATTATAAATTTATTCCTCACACAAACATTCTTTTACATACAACCGTGCGCATCAAACTTTTGGCATCAAACAAAGTCATCTTTATCAACATTGTAACGTTGATCCAATCCACTCGCGTTTCCAACAGCCGGAAGTTAATTCACCTGCGAGTGTATGTGATTATCGCAAGACTCACATTCGAATCGTGCAATTCGAAAATGGAAAATTCCGAGTTTCAGCCAGCGGTATCACGTTTTTAAGTTTTGTTCTTCTGCTAAATCCACACTGTTAGGCGAACTTGCGGAATGCTTCGGAGGTACATCCGGAAGTTTCATGCCAATGAATTGTTTCCAAAGAGTATAGGTATCATCAGCCATTTCTTTCATATCTTAACGTATTGTAAAGCTGCTTACTTAGGTGATAAACAAATTTTACTAACTTATAACAAGTCTTCCCACGCAATACACACAATTCTGTTCAGATCTGAATACTTGCATGCAACAAATTTTATAACTTCACTCGACAATCAGCCACATTTCAACCATTTCAGGAAGTCTCAATGAAACGCCATGTCATAAACGCTTCTTAAAACATACGAACTTAATGGTGCTCGAAACATTCATACCCTAACCTTAGCGGGTGATTACTATCATAGACGAAACANTGATCAATTCAAGCAGTGAAAAAGCAAGATTCAAGCAAATTTACACGAGCGGATTGTTCAGATGGACTTCTGAAGAAAAGCTCGTCATGTAAGATATGTGAACAGCGTTTGAGTTAAGAATGCAAGCAGTAGGTCGTACGTTCAGATGATAGAAGAAGAATGCTTTTTATGACAAGTGAATCGTAGAGGATGCCAGTGAAGAAGGGCCAGGTAGATGGCCAATGAAGAGTAAGCAGTACCTGTTGATGATAGCTTCTGTTCATTGAATGTCAACAATCAATCCCTCACCTACACACAAACAAACAAATATATGTAACACACACAACTCGTCTCAGGATATCATCATGATTGAGTTTGATGATATTATTTTGTGAGATCAATTTATCATTTTATCACATCGACACTCTCCTAGTGAAATTGTATTATCATTACGAGGAATATTGTTGATATTCTTCACCGAGCTTCTTCAAGCTTCAACAACAAAAATATTGTTCAACTGACATTCGGATGCGACCACTGCACAGCGCAGATGAACACCCACTGTCAATTACGAGCTACATATGTTTAAAAGACAGTGATATCCAGCCGTGGGAAAGAATTGACGTTAAAGTGCTTTTATATACAACAATTAGTGATAAATACATCGTTGACGATTCATCGCCTTTCATAGTGGTATTCACTCATTTCGTCGTCGGTCCAATCTGTAGNTCGCCTGGATAACACCCAAGGCTTTAACTAAGACTTACACAAGCTCAGCTCAGGCTTGAGACAATTGGCGACGCTTTTAGTAGTGACACTTCAGTGTTACGGCTCCTCAATTGTAGCAGCATTCTTAAATCAGCGAACAGAACAATAGAAATTCCGTGTTACGTTGCTGCAACAAATATTCTACGTCGAAAATTGAACTGAACGCATGTCCATTGTCCTACCTGACGGAAGCACCACAATTTCATGAGATCGAATTCAATTCGTTTCGAAATACCAGAATACGTGAAAATTGTTTGTTTGCATAAACATTAGCACCTAAAGTGACTGTCATTCGCAAAATTCAACTTAGATATGTGCTAGCTACGCGTTGAAATAGTTATGATTGAGTGACACCCATTAAAAGAAACTTATAGGTGCATTGAGGATTAATGAGTTATGCTCATTGGAAACGGAAAGTACACTTCACTGATATCTCATTTCACTTCACAAGAACATAAGAGTTGGTCAAATGCGGTCAATTTTGAACTCAAAGTGAAATGGTGATGAACACGCAAAACGAAGCATTAATAAACTACTCAAGAAATATCAGTATGGTCTCATCAAAGAGTTCAACGAAAATAAAAAGAGAGATTCAAGCATACGGTAAGAAATACGATTTTGACAAATGGCACATGTTAGCTGATCAGTGACATACCGACACGAATTTTCGATTAGATTTATCGACTCTTGAAGAGTACTCAGCTTTGGTATAGTAAAAAATTAGTAACATGACGTCAAGGTGATTAGTTTGACGTAGGTATGATTTGACGAATGTGAA